ATTGTTTCTAAATTTAAGAAGTACAATTATAAAAATAATCGATGTTTCGAAAAGGTAAAACGTTGTTATCCAATATTATTGTAAAACCCATTGATTAATCTTTCATTCTTTCGTGTAACTTCATTAACACTCTAGAACAGCCCATTACTCTCGATAGTTGCTACTCGACCCTTAAAATTAGTGAGCGAAATCCCGAGTATCGGTTGGTTGAACACTCACACGGATTCCCTTTCGCATGAATGTTCATTGCGTTCGCATGTACACTTGATGGCAAACAGAAAGCTCTTTTCCCCGCTATCCTCTCTTTTCTCTCCCTCTCTCTCTTTCTCTCTCTCTCTCTCTTTTTTACTTTACACGCTTGGTCTACCGGTTTGAACCACTATCTGTTCGTGGCAACACGGTGCAAACATTTGTTCAGGACGAAGAAGAGTGCTGATAGTAGGAATAGGAGACAGTGGTGGGAGCTGAGAAGCAGGCGGCAAACGCTGATGCAATATCGGTAATAAGATAACGACTAGCCGGCGTATTGCACCCGACTTTACTTTCCCTTTGCCCTCTTTCCTCATTGGCTAACATTCTGGAACCACGTGCTGTAACGATCTAATGGTTTTCGAGTTTCTTATCTAACCTACGTGCAACCAACGTGCACCGCCATTCTCGTTTGATTGCTTTTGTTCTTGAACTTTGAAACACAGCTCATTTTTGTGTTTTTCATTAATAATTAAAAAAAACGATTGTTCGTTTAAGACAATATTATAAATTAATAAAAAATAAAAAATATAATTTTGAAAACGATTTAAAGTACTTTTCATAAGTGTACTAACTTCAAATATAAGGTTGACATTAAAAATAAAAGAATATTTTAAAGTATTATCACACTTTCAAACATCATTATCGTTCTTAACAAACGAGTAACTACTCCAGGTGAAGCACGTAGTAGAAAGAAATTTTTCACTTCGGATAAGGAGTTTTATCAGAGAGAGGGCTTCTTCTTCTTCTTAAACCACTTTTCAGCTAATCTCTAGCGACCACCGGTGTGTCACATATGGCGTCAAGCATAAAAAGAGCTCTAGGCGTCGCTATTTCTAGTCGTCGTCGTTGCAGCTCAGATTAGAAGCAGTGCATTCTGCACGTTCGCGAGGCCTCATTTCGAAAACGATTCGTTTTCCCGATGTAAGTTGTGGAGCACCTGTCGACCTTCCTCTCTTCCTCACTCTCTCTCTCTCTCTCTCTCTCTCTCTCTCCTTCTCTTTCTTTCTACCCAGTTTCTGTTCTTGGTACTTCTCCTACTCTCACACAATCACAACGATATCGCACAAAGAGACATTAATGTTGGCGATGTTCGTGCCTGTGCATTTTTTAAAACCGAATATCGTTTTACGACGACCATTCGGAAATAAAACAAGATTAAATGCTCTCTGTCAAAATCAATATTCTCTGCACTTAAACGGATTGGAGCCCATTGCTACAACCAATGAAAGAAGGAACATGATATTTCGTCAAAATCTATATTAGGCAATAAAATATTGAAAAGTAAAAGTTTATCGATCACGTTTGCAACGTGAGGCGCGTTCAATTTGCTTACATAAATATGTTATATATATATATATATAAAGGTTTATTTCATTTCGTTAAGAATAAATTTCAAATAAATCAAGAATATAAAAAGAAAAACGAGAGTAATAAAATAACACGAATGAATTTAAAAAATAATTAATCACGATTCATGGATTTCACTCGATAGACATTTTTATCGCTTGCGGTCACGTAAATCGTGGTTTTTTGGTATACCCTGATGACGACAAGTATAGTTAGAGTTAGGAGCGCCGACCGACCTAAACGGCGCGTCATAAATTGTGCACAATTGTCAGTCAACGTTGACCCGGTGTCATCGTCCATTTCAAGCAACCTTATAATTGCCCTCAACACGAACAAAACTATACTATCCTGAAGACATACGCATTTATCCATGACTTTACTCTTCTACATATGTGCAACGTATGTGTTAATATTGATTAAGCCATACGCAGTTTTCGAACGTAGGAAAAATAAAAATTGCATACCCCAGTCAGACTAATTTCGTGAAAATCTAGATAATAAAGATTTACTCAGGAATTGAATATAATGCATTAAAGAGCATTCTTTGCACTGCAAACGCTACAGTCGATATAATTTGGTTTTGGTATTCTCTATGTGATTTTATATCGGCCCGAAAATGGCTCGATTATTTGCACACAATTTCCTTTTACTTTGATTCTCGAAAAGCATTCGATCGAGAGCGAATAGTTGCGCAATTTATGCGATGAGTGAACAAGCACGTTAGTTTGAACACACTGTTCGAGGATTCTAATGTGATTGCACTGTTTATTTTAGGTAAATGAAATTGAAATAGTACGAGGAGAGTCTCGAAGAGTGCTGGCTCGTTCGTTCGTTCGTTCGTTCGTTCGTTTTGGTGGGGATGCAGGACCGCAGGAGATGAGGGGTGAAAGGAGGTCTTATTGCGAGTCTACCTTTTTAATTAAAGTTTGAAACTAAACTAGCGCACGCAGGGAAAGGGTTCACTCCCGTACCACCCTCGCGGACTCGGTAGAAATGCGACGCATAAAATAATTAAGTGTAGCTTTCGCTATGTTGAGCACCATCATAGAGCTTATTTAACATTCCTACCCATTATAAAATGAACGACGGCTAACACAAGATCGCCTTCATTCCAAGATTAAATCCTGGAACAATAATATAACCGTTTCTCGACTCTAGTCTTTTACTACCACCCACCGTTCTCATCCTATTCATCTTAAAATTTACAAAGAAGAAGAAGAAGAAAAAGATAAAGAAGAAGTAGAAAAGAAGAAGACTGTTCCTTTTTAAAAACGAGGTTAATTGACTTTTTCAACAACGTCACGTTTCAAAGATATTACTCCCTCTGTTTCATTAATTTTATCACCGATTTTATATCGAATATACAAACGAATATTCATTTTCGCGATTCCTTTATTCGTAAAGTTCCTTAACCTCAATACGACCATCGTTGTTCTATCAGCTACGAGTATCTACGTTAATTTTGCTAATGGTTAATCGATAAAGCGGTAAGTTACGGAAACGACATCGTTTTAAGCTTATACTCGTATTTATACATTTATACATTTATATGAGTAGCGCTTACATATGTATGCATGTATGTATGTATGTATAAGTACGTAAGTTAGAATTCATGTATATGGTCCCTAACTGTGGAAAACAAGAAACAATAGGATGCTCGCTGTAATTGAGGGAGAGATATATTTGTATATATGTAGTTAAAACGAATACGTTCTCGATCCTTGGACACCTGTTCACATATGCGAAGAAAAGGCGCATGCGCGTATACATTTTCAAAGACGCTAACTGGACGAATAGAATTGACCCTTAAGTTGAATTAATCACAAATGTTACTAGATGTTAGCTTGAAAGTTAAATCAATTGATATAACTTCGGTACATAAGCGCGAGAATAACACGTTTTTCGTTTATACCAATTTGTATTAACGAACAAGGGATAAATTATTTACCGGTATATTACCTTTGAATATAATATCGCGAACTAGAGAGAAGACTCGATATGAAAGTGTTTTCATAATGCATCGTGCGGCTACGTCGTTTAAAACACAAACCACGTTTGTTCACAAAGCAAACCTATTTTGGTCGGGTAGCGTGCAAGCGCGATATGGAAGCGAATACTCTGATATTGTGTAGGATTAATTATTTATGCAGTAAAGGGTTTAAAAGGGAACTATGGACCATCATCGAGCGTAACCGAAATCGTAATACCGTGAAATAATTCGCGATAACTGGACTACTACATATATTTGGCCAAAACATTGCCCCAATAAAAAACTACCCTTTGTTTTTCTTTTTATTTTTCTATATGTTTTTTTTTTCGTATCTTTTCTTTCTTCTTATCTCTTGCGGACAAACGATATAAACAAACAAACAAATAAAAAAGGAAGGGGAAGGAAAAACAATTCTCTTGATCTACGAGACCTACTAAAGTTCGAACAATGAAACAGGTGAAACGTGAGCAAGTTTGTTAGTGACTTGAACCCTTCATTCCCCCCATCCCATCCCTGAACTAAACGGAAATAAGTTACGACTATAATAGACGATGCTAATAAAGTATTCTAACTGAATACTTTATCAAGCGTGTTTTTTTAATATCATCACGACCGCGTCATTTCTTTTAGCTGTCTCGATCATCATCCGCAAAGGTGGTGGTAGTTCGAAGGAGAAGTCACTTTTAAAAGTATTATCTCAGTTACCTCATCGCAAAAGGAAAGTTTTTAATTCGTTAGTTTCGAAGCATTCTACCTGCGGCGTACCGACTTATCGATGAAGTGAGGAAGCCATTAAAGAGGAAAAGAGTCATATTACAATAATTGGATCATACAAATCTAGTTCTTTTGTCTTCTTCTTTCTCGATGTATTTATTTTATTTATTTTTATTCAATTTATTAGATTACTGTTTATTCTGGGATAACTGAGAAAAAAAAAGAAAGAAATTATGTATTACATTTTGTGTTGCATCACTTGCAACAAGGTAATACAATTAATTTAATGATCTTTGAACCTAAATTATTCGTTGAATACAATAAACTCTGTTATAATCAAATTCGTTGAGACAAACAATGAAAAGTCCTATTTACAATTGAAAACTTTATTATATTAAAAAAATGTTATTAAAAGTCGAAAGATAAAGGAAAACTAGCAACAGGGTTAAAACTATAAATAAGTTAGCGCGAAATGTTTGAATGCAATTACAAAGAGCATGAAAATTTAACAGCTGTCACACAAAACGAAGTTAAAACTATTTTAAATAAATTATTTCTCTTAACTTCTTTTAAAAATTTAGATAAACGTGGTTTAAAAACAAAATTAAAAAAAAAAAAAACAATTGGATTATATCAAAAGAAATAAATTAACGAATAAATAGATAAGTAAATAAATAAGAGTAAACAATGTACTTACTTTAAAAAGAAATGACGTCTATGTTGACGGATTCCTTCTTAGTTGTCACGAAAACACCAAGGGCTGTTCACCAAGTAAAAGTAGTCGTTGAAGTCTCTGTGTCGTTGAATAGAAGATGAAAAAAGTACACTGTCACTAATTGATCGTAATAAAACACGAAAGCATGATCGTCAATAACGTGTCACGATATGTCACGGTATCACAGAAAACACTAAATATATATATACATATATATACATATATATATATTTCAAATTATTTACTGTATATATGTATATACATATACATATATATCTATATATATATAGGTGAAAATAATTTTGGCGCGTCTCCGTCTGAAATCGTCGTTCGAGAGTACCGAATCTTACCGAAAGGAGTAAAATCGTTGAAGAACGTGTTAAAGACCGTGCGTAGTCTTCGCGACCCCGTAACGGACTGAGCGTCGCGCCAGAGGCACAGCGCCACCGTGACCCGTGGCGACATCGTGTACTAACACGCGAACCGAGCCGAGTAACATTCGTGTTACTATATCTCTCCCTCGCTCATTCCCCTGTCTTATTCCTACCAATACAAATACCCTTTCTATCCCGTATGCTCTTGGGTTCTCTTTTCCTTTGCAAGTAGTTTCTTCACTTTTCCCGCTCTTTATGGAAAGGACGAAGAAGAGCTTACTTCGATTCGCGTTTTTCTTCTCGTCGGCCAATGTTATCAAAGACGCTCGCAAAAATATTTATATGTATATATATATATGAAATACATATCGTTATATACGTTACTGACATATATATATATTTTTTCTTATCACCATGCAAGATACCTTTATTTTTAAACAACTACATCGTCATTTAATTCTTTTTCTTGTTTTCTTTTTCTTTCCCCATCTCCCATCCCCATCGCTTTCTCGTATAGTTTTGCAAATTTTCATACAAAATCTAATCTTTCGAATGTTTTCTCTTTTATTCCGCTGAAATAGCAAAAAAAAAACTAATTAAAATTGTAATTTATTTAACTTGAAAATATAGTATACTTTTTCGTTTTTTTTTCGGGTCAGCGCGAACAAATTTCGGCAAGGGTCGATGATTCTTTCTATTCGACTATGTTCCTCTAGGAACGCACGTACGAAGGAAATGTACTTTGTACGTGAGTGCACGCGCTGGACAATAATTGTAAGCTCGTTTCGTTGGAATAGATAAGCAAAAGATGCCTTGTGATTTTCTCCAATTCTATATTATTACGTAAGTTTAATAAACTATTTTACATTTAAAATTTGAATTAAAATGATAATTAGATGAATTTCGTGACGTTTCGAAACGATTACTATTGATATTTGTACTTTTGTGAAATATTTATTTTTGCCATTTAATCAGCGCATATCTTAGGTAAATCGATAGATCGATCGACCTATAATACCAATGCAATTTTACGAATAGAATAGAAAGAGAAACATCAAAGGTAAACGGTATGTGAAGAAATATTTGTTTTACTAGCGTCTATATTTCTAACCGTACGCGACAGAGAAAATATTTGAAATTAAAACGTTCCCTTGGGGTATTTGAGCGAAGCTCGATTCTGTCTTTACGTCTTTCATTTTCAATCGTGTTACAATATGGTCATTGCATCTTGCCGAGGTGACGTTTGGTAACGAGTATCGATGATTGAAAGTTGACGTTGATGCATGAAACTGAATATTATTGAGAAGAGATGAAATGTTGATTAACTTAATGTACAGTAATGTAGTGATGGATAATACGGAAAAAACAAAATTGATATTTTGCTATGTAATGAACGTTCACGATAATGTACCTAGTTGAAATACTTAAGTGTGCAAAAACACTTAAATAATACATTGCTTACGATGACGTATTCGAAGATACACGTGCCATTTAATCCCATTTGTCCTCGGTGGAGGAGGAGTCTGACGTTTTCGACAATTTCTCTAACTCGTTCTAAGAAGCTACTTTAAGATCGTTCTCGTTCTCTTACTCTTTATCTTTCTTTCTCCCTCTTTATTTCTTTCTCCCTCCTTCTCATCCTCCTTGTGAACACGCAATCATAACAACGGTTCGATAACTTCAAAGCGATAAATCAATTAGTCTCATGTCGTTTCAACGTCTGCCAGCTGGACTTATGTCTCTGATTATGCAATTACGATGAAAGTATTTACGAGCTCGATCATGTGACCCAAGAACATCGGGGAGCATCAACTATTTTTCTTTCTTTTCATTTTTCTATCATTTATTAGCTTTACTCGTACTCAATACTCGCATTTCTAGAGCTTTGCTATCTGTGCAAGTTCAACTTGTACGTTTTCCGTTTGGAGATTCCTATTTTATCTGTTTAAAGGTAAAAGTACAAGTACAGCATTGCAAATACGAAACGAACAAACGTTCAACGTTCTCTTTTATTCTGCATATTCTAAAACAAATATTCATAATTTCGTATGCATTCGTACGTGTAGGTAAATAAAAAGAAAAGTCCGATTATACTACTGTTACTGACGAATATTTAATATAAATGATGAAAATTGTAATTAATAATTATCATACAACAAACGAAACACAATGGTTTACACGTGTGTACTATTTTCGTACTTTGTACTCAGTCGTGAAAAATAAAGAAGGAATAAAAAGAAAAAAGAAAAAAAAATACAGAAAAATATATCTCATACTGAGATACGCTGTAATTATCGTAATTATGTTAGAGCGTATCGCGATTTTGTTTGTTGCACGTCGTTGATATGCAAAACGCAAAAGCGAACTAAACGATTATTTCTACGTGTTGGTGGACCGATCGATGAACGAGTTTCCGTCGAGTTTGTTATACAAATGCGTAATTATTGATTCTATTTCGTTGCGGTCGGCGCGTAGTTAAATAGCAATTTGTAATTCAGCGTATTCGGATTACCGGTTTGGTAATCGGAAATGCTTACGATTGCGATTTTAACTCTAGCATTCGCCATTCTTTCGGATTACAGGCACCAATATTTTTTCCCCGTTTTGAAGTAATGTGTTCGTGATTAGTGGCTCGTTGTTTCGAGACTAGCAGCCTGGAAGAAGAGAATTGTTTTCCACGAACTTCTGTTACAGAGTGGCGTTCTTCGAACGAGAGGATTAGATTTACTACCGCGACGAATTAATGTTTTTTTCCTGGCTCGAACAACAAGAATCATTCGTTACCTTAATGACAATTTTCTTTTATCCAATTTCGATCGTGTTCGACGATAAAACGTGTTCTTCCTTTGAATTACATACATTTCATTTGTTTACTATTTTTCACAAATCACATTATTTATTTTCTTATTTTCAATTTGATATTTTTTATTCAAATATTTATAAGAATAATAACGCGTACTTTGAATTTTAGATGTGAACTTTATCTGGTGTTAAAATAGACGTTACTAATTTCGTACGAAGTACATAACGAAAAAGTGGACTAATGAGTAATTCGTATATGTATATATACTTATATATATATTTTACATAGGATAACGAGCAGAGAGAAAATTTATTTTCTTACCAGAGAGAGAGAGAGAGAGAGAGAAAGCGAGAATGAGAGAGAAAGGCAGCTGGTATTTTGAAATTGTTAAAGCTGACAATACCAAACGAGAGACTCGTTTATAAAACGATAAAGACGATAAGACTGACCGTTTAACCACTTTGCCTCAGAGCCAATCAGCATTATCGATCGATTTGTTTGTTCGACACTACGACGTTTTCCATTCGATCATAAATCTTTAGTCTCACAACAATTCCGGGTACCCTTAGGTGCGACTTAGGTCCCGAAGATGGGATATTTTGTTAAGCCATTAATAATCACCGTCTCGCGTCTCTCGGTAACAGGCTTTCTCAATTAATCTACGTTACGAGTGTACCGAATGGAGAGACGAAGAATGGGAAGAGAAGGATGAGTGGAAAGGGTGAAAAGGGATGGTAGGAAGGGAAAGGACCGGGGGAGAATGTAAAAGCTTGAAAATTAATATTAACGTACAGTTTAGAGGAACTCGCGCATATATCGGTGCAATAAATCGATATTTTATGTTGTCGGATATCAATGGATAATAATTCGATTCTGATACGGATACTTTGCTCTCTCTCTCTCTCTCTCATTGTTTTCAACATTATCTGAGCTAACATAATCGTTTTACTTACAGTTATTATCATATCGCTAATATTACGTATTCGTGATTCAATTTTTAAAGTCAATTATTAATGAATTCCAAACCAATATGAATGAACGAGAATGTTCATTGAACAATGCAAATAAATTAAATTCAAAAAACATTCTAACGCTTCGATCAATGCTCGTTATCGTAATTAATGGTATAAGAAAATATTCAGTTTTTTTCAGTTAGTTTCATTTTGACTCATAATGAATATAACCGCAATCTCCTGAGAGGAATACATATGTTCTACAGAAGAACTAACCCAATTTAAATGTTACTACGTTATAAAGTATTGTGCGTTATATATTAGTATATATGATATATAATATATACATTATCACATACCGTGCTACAAATCCATCACAAAAACCGTGGAACAGCATATTTTACATACGGTTATACGAGCATTTGGCTTTCCATGAAAATTGATGAGTAAACAGAGATACAGAGAGAATGGGAGAAAGAGATGGTAGTGGATCAGTGATTTGGGCAAACGAATTCTACTTTTATATGTCATTACCTTCATTAACAACAAATTTCACGTATGAATTAAACTACATTCATGTGAAATGCATTATTTAATGCCGATTGAAAAGAAATGATTATTTCGTACTTACATGATCACGATTATTATTATTATCATTATTATTATTATTATTATTATCATCATTATTATAATAATAATACTACGACGTATAACAAAGCTTTTACACGTTTACTCTCTTTCTCTGTAATTAACTATAACCACAAGTGTCAGTAATATATTTCATTTAGGAACGAGCCTTCTACGTTCGTTAATATAAACTACCAATCCGCAGTTATGATCATCATCCACCGGATAGAGCCCAATATTTCCATATTAACACGCATCACTGTCCGTTATCGACCAAAATTAGACGAATAATTCGTTCATCGAAGCGCGTCCTTTCATATACATATATATTTACGCACACATATACGCACATTCACATACATAAACATGTATGGTGGTATAGAAGCAAGAGAGATAGATAACATGACGATCATTAGAAATTCATAAAGGATCGAGTTTCGACTGTTCCTGCTAATTACGAGATCGAACCAGAACACAAAATTCGAATGATTTTATTTTCTTTTATTTCAAACGAAAACTATGCGAGGACACCCTGCTCCCCCTTCCAGCCGCTTCAATATCGGTCCACTACTCCCATGTTTAGTCGATTTAATTAATTTCCCTCGCATTGCCACGTAATTAGTAATCAATAGCGCG